CGGTCTTCCGGCGCGCTCGGCCTCCCTCGGCGCCCCTCCTCCCGGCACAGTCTCTCTAGCTGCTGCCCAGGCTGCTGTGGGCCCGCGTCTCTGGTTCGCTAAAGCTGGGTCTGGGTCTTGTCTGTCTCCGTGCCTCTGTCTGGAACCCGCCCTGGGTCTGTGTCTCTGTCTCTGGTTCCTGCCTCCTGCCTCTTCCAGCCTGTCTGCTTCATCTGGGCTAGGCTCGGGGTCCTTTTTCCTCGTCTCTGGATTGTGTCAGCGACTGGGAATGCTCTCTTCTCAAACCTAAGCCATGACAGTGGCCCCCTAGAAGGATACTATACAGCCATCTGGGCATCTGTACGTCTGTGTGCGCAGCCACTATACTGAACCACTAAGCCGCTGTTTATGGAAGGCCTCCTGTGCACCAAGCGTTGTTAGGTATTGAGGGTACAATGGGTCTCTGCTCTCCTGACACTTACATTATAGTGGGGGGAGGGGAGACAGAAAATAACTAAGAAAGAGAAAGTAATATAAGATGATTATAAGGGTGGGGGCAAGGGGCAACCAAACATGGTAATGACTTGAGAGTGAAGGGCTACTTTACTCTGGGTAGTCAGAGACAGACTCTGTGAGGAGATGATATTGAGCCAAGCACAGCTCATGAGTACAGACAAAAAGAAGAACAAGTGCAAAGGCTCTAAGGCAGAAACAGGTTTTGGTGGTGAGAGCTTAGAGAGAGAGTGCCAGGATACCTGGGACCAACAATTTGGAGTGTGGCAGAGATCAGAACGGAGAGGCAGGCAGAGCCCAATCACAGAGCCTTAGAGGCTGTGGAAGGAGTTTAGATTTTAGTCTAAGTGCAATGGGAAGCAAGTGGCGGGTTTTAATCAGGAAAATTATATTCATTGATTTATGTTTTAAAAGATCACTTTGGCTGCTATGTAGAGAATGGAAGCAGGGAGGTAAGACAAGATGGTGGCTAGTACTGAAGTGGTGGTCTTGGAGAGAGAAAGTAAATGGGTTACTTCTGAGTTTTTGGCTTAAATAGCTGAGTGGATGGTGGTGCCTTTTACTGAGATGGGAAACACAGGGGGAGGGGGAAGGAAAAGATCTGGGGAGAGAAATCAAGCATTATACATTAAGCCCGGTTAGTTGAAACCCACTCAGACATCCAAGTGGAGGCTACAGGTAGGCCAGGGATATACGAGTTGGGGGATCAGAGCTGGAGGGTAAACATGGAGATGGGTGGCTTAAATGCAATAAGACTGGAGCACCTAGGGAAAGAGTGTGGAGAGAGAAAAGAAGAGGCCTGGAGCATCCCAACACTTAGAGGTCAAGCTGAGGAGGAAGACTTACCAAAGGCGCGTCAAGTTATCAGAGAAGTAACAGAAAAGCCAAGGAGGGAGCAGCCAGGAGCACAAGAAAGAGATAAGGTTGCAACAGCGTGCTTGATGCTGGTGGGAATAACCAAGAGGTGGGGGAGGGTAGACCTCAGTACCAGGTGCAGAAATTGGCCTCAGGTGGTAGGGAAGACTCCTCACCCACAGGGAGATAGGGGAGACAGAGACTGTGGGTTAGTTAGGGTGTGGGAAGAATGAGGCAGTTTCCCTCTGGTTGCTCCCATTTTCTTTAAGAAGAATGAACCAAGCTCATTGCTGGAGGGGAGAGAGTTTCCAGGTGATCTGAGGAGAAAGAAGGTGTGAAATGTTCATTTTGGAGAGAAGGAAAACAAACCTTCTAGGATAGAATAGAATTTCTAGGCATGTTGAGGGTCCATTTGAGATGTGGGATCATAAATTACAATTTCGGAGGTGAATTCACCGTGAAGCTAATGAAATTCACACTTCAGGACCCCTCACTTCCGCAGGCTCCTGTGAGGATCCTAGCAACGTACTCACATGGCCATACGGTTCTGTAAAATTTGCAAAAATAACATATTTTTAACTGCAAATGGTGAAGACCACTGTCTCCTTTCACTCTGACTTCCCCTCTTTCCCCCTTTCCCCCTGATGTTGGAGTGGCTGTGGGCATCTGGGGATATGTTAATGGTAATATGGTTACTGTGGTTTCCAGTCACTTCCACATATAGTTAAGTTACCCAGCCATCCTGGTGTGGCAATAGCTTCCAGAAAACTCCTGTGACCGTCACTAGGCTTTGTGCCATGAAGGTGCAAAGCCAGAGGGCACATGTGTGATGAATGCATCCAGTGGCTCTTGTCACTCTAAGTGTGTGGATGGTAGAGGAGAAACGAGATTTGAAATACAGAGAGCCAGTAGCCAGTCTGTGGAGAGTATTTCAGAGGTATGCAGGCAATTAATTAATACCAGTAAGTTATTTTTCTGGACTTTGTGACCTTTGTGGCATCTGTCAGCTTTTTCAATTTGTAAGTTGTTTTGATCTTGTTTCATTCTAAACATTACTTTTTGTGCCTAATTTTATATTATTTTCTTTAAACACCCGCCCCCCCCAAAACGATTATATACACTTCATTCAGTCTCCCAAAACCTGAGACCAGTTGGCCTGATTGGATGATTTTCTCCAACTCTCGCTCCTGTGGAGATGTGTCTGTGAGGGAGGCCCTCATGTCCTCTGCCAGGGTTTCTGAGGGTATGGGATGGGGGGGTCTCTGTGTGGATGGCACCCTCTGTCAGCGTGGACCTGTGTATGCATCCGTTTGTGGTTGTGTCTGTGTACGTAGTATGTGTATGGGTGTCTGGGCCTCCAGCCTCTTCACGGCTGCCTCTGGGCTTGGGGGAGGGGAGTGCGTGTCCCCCACACGCTGGGGCCCTAGGGAGGCGGGCAAGGACCTGGGACAGCACAGCTGGCCTGGTGGCCTGCTTCCCCTCCCCCGCTGTGCCATCTCCCCAGGCCTGGGTTCCAAGGCTCAGCTCCTCCCTCTTTGTTCTTCAAAGAGAAGGCTGGCTTCCTGGGACCCCCTGGGTCCTGGGTAGGGGGAGTTCCTGGAGGGTTGGGACCTGGGGGCTGGGGGTTGGGAAGTGGGAGGCCCAGGCCCCTAGGCCAAGGGAAGAATCAGGATAGAAGACCTGTATAGAGCCAGGAACAAAGACAATAATCGCTGCCCTTCTGGGGCCGGTGTTCTTGTCGGGGAAACAGTTAAATGACTACTACTCAAAATGTATCCTTTGTCAGTTGGTGTACGTGCTGTGGAGAAAAGTGAAGCAAGGAAGGGTGAAGAGTGGGAGTTGTAACTTCAGATAGTGTGACCAGGGAGGGACCCCACTGAGAAGGGGAAATTTAAGAGGTGGGGGACGAGCACTCCAGACAGAGGGACCGACTGGCAGGACGGCCTTGGAGGACAACCTGCCAGGCTTGTCAGAGGGACAGAGAGCAGCAAGGGGAGAGTAGGCTTGGCTGGAGTGGAGGTGGCAAGTACAGGAGTTGTAGGAGGTGAGATCAAAGTGACAAAGGGAGAGGCTGACTGTGTAGAACTTTCTAGGCCATTGCAAGGACTTTGTCATTTCTGAGTGTAATGTGAAGCCTTTAGAGGACTTTTCCCCACTAGCTTTTTTGTTTTGTTTTGAGAACTTTTAATTTTTGTATAATTTCATACTTTCAGAAAAGTTACAAGACTAGTACAAGGAACTCCTGTATACTCTTTTCCGAGGTCTGTTAACTGTTTACATTGCTCCATTTGCTTTATCATTTCTGTCCAAATATAATAGATACAAAATGTTTGTTTTCTGAATCATTTGGTGGTGAACTGAAAACTCCAGGCCCTTTGCCTGTAGTTACTCAATGTGTTTTCTGAGAACAAAGACATCTGTAACATAATAGTACATAATAGTACAACTATCAATGTTAAGATATTAAAATTAATACTATCGTTTAATGCCAGTCCATATTTAAATTTGCTCAAGTGTCTCTGATGTCCTTTATAGCTCTTTTTTCCCAGTCTAGGATCCAGTACAGGATCCCACACTGCATTTAGTTGTTATGTCTCTTCAGCTTCATTTAATCTGGAAGATTCTTGATCTTCACAGTTTCAGAGTTCAGGATGGTTACTTTGTAAATGTCCTTCATTTTGGTTTTTCAGATGCTTCTCCACGTTTAGATTCAAGTTACTCATGTTGTGTATTTTTGGTGGGGAGATCACCACAAATCATGTCAGAAGACACACGTCACTTTGTCCCAATACTGGGATATTGACTTTGATCACGAGGTTAAAATGGTGTTCCCCAGTTTTCTCCACCATAAAGTTATCATTTCCCCCTTCGTAGTATTTAATATGTAATTTGTGGGAAGATATTTCAATAGCTCTTCACCACTTGTACCTTATCAAAAGTTCACCCACTAGTTTAACATCCATTGATGATTTCTAACTCCCGCACTCTTGTATTTTTTAGTTGGGTAAGAGTTTTCTCTTTTCCTCCCATTTAATTATTTATGCTGATATGAATTTGGATTCTTACTTGATTCAGTACATTAAAATTCATTCACTGTCATCGTTTTAATGCTTAGCTTGTCCCAGATTTAGTCAATGTGGGCCCCTTTAGCATTTTTTTCTCTTTCTTCTTTTTGTTCTCTTTTCTTGTGGTTTGATGACTGTAGAGTTACATTGGTTTGTGGTTACCATGAGGTTTTGGTATAGAAATAAATATAGATACAGATATATAAATTATACACACACACACACACACACACATACATATATACAAGATTGTTTTAAGTTTCTGATCTCTTAATTTCAAATGCATTTTAGATACCCTGCATTTGTACCCTTCTCCCTTCACTGTTACTTTTCTTGTTTCTAGTTGTGGCCCTTTCTTTTTTTTAACCTAGAGAAGTTCCTTTAACATTTGTTGTAAAGCTGGTTTGGTGGTGCTGAATTCTTTTAGCTTTTGTTTATCTGTGAAACTTTTGATCACTCCATCAAATCTGAATGACAGTCTTGCTAGATAGAGTATTCTTGGTTGTTTTTCCCTTTCATCATTTTAAATATGTTACACCACTCCCTTCTGGCCTGTAGAGTTTCTGCTGAAAAATCAGCTAATATCTTTATGGGAGTTCCCTTGTATGTTATTTGTTGCTTTTCTCTTGCTGATTTTAATATTTTCTCCTTATCCTTAATTTTTGTCAATTTGCTTACTGTATGCCTTGGTGTGTTTCTCTTTGGGTTGATCTGGTGTGGAACTCTCTTCGTTTCCTGGGCTTGGGTGACTGTTTTCTTTCCCAAGTTAGGGAAGTTTTCAGCTATTATTTCTTTGAATATTTTCTCAGATCCTTTCTCTCTCTATTCTTTTTCTGGGACCCCTATAATGCAAATATTATTGTGCTTCATGTTGTCCCAGAATTGTCTTAAACTGTCCTCATTTCTTTTCATTTTTTCTTTTTTCTGTTTTGCAGTAGTGATTTCCACTAATCTGTCTTCTAGCTCATTGATCCATTCTTCTGCCTCATTTAGATTATTGTTGGTTCCTTCTAGTGTGTTATTCATTTCAGTAATTTTATTCTTCAACTCTGGGTATCCTTTACAATTTCCAATTCTTTGCGAAAAACTTCACTCTGTACATCTATACTCCTTTTGAGTTATCTGAACATCATCATTACTCTGAACTTTCTCGGATAAATTGCTTATCTTGTTATCACATTTCTTCTTCTGGGATTTTGTCTTGTGCCTTGGCTTGGAAGATGTTCCTCTGCTGCCTCATATTTGTGTGTGTGCGCGCGCGAGCGAGAGAGAGAGAGAGAGAGAGAGAGAGAGAGAGAGGG